TGTCCCAGAGGTCTCTGAGGTTGTCCTCATTTCTTTTCATTCCTTTTTCTTTTTTCCTCTCTGTTTCCTTTATTTCTACCATTCTATCTTCTACCTCACTTATCCTATCTTCTGCCTCTGTTATTCTACTGTTGATTCCCTCCAGAGTGTTTTTGATCTCATTTATTGCATTATTCATTATATATTGACTCTTTTTTATTTCTTCTAGGTCTTTGTTAAACCTTTCTTTCATCTTCTTGATCCTTGTCTCCAGGCTATTTATCTGTAACTCCAATTTTCTTTCAACGTTTTGGATCATTTTCATTATCATTATTGGGAATTCTTTATCAGGTAGATTCCCTATCTCCTCCTCTTTTGTTTGGTTTGGTGGGCATTTATCCTGTTCCTTTCCCTGCTGGGTATTTCTCTGCTTTTTCATCTTGTTTATATTGCTGTGTTTGGGGTGGCCTTTCTGTATTCTGGCAGTTTGTGGTTCCTCTTTATTGTGGAGGTTCCTCGCTGTGGGTGGGGTTGGACGGGTGGCTTGTCAAGGTTTCCTGGTTAGGGAAGCTTGTGTCGGTGTTCTGGTGAGTGAAGCTGGATTTCTTCTCTCTGGAGTGCAATGAAGTGTCCAGTAATGAGTTTTGAGATGTCGGCGGGTTTGGTGAGACTTTGAGCAGCCTGTGTGTTGAAGCTCAGGGCTATGTTCCTGTGTTACAGGAGAATTTGTGTGGTCTGTCTTGCTCTGGAGCTTGTTGGCCCTTGGGTGGTGCTTGGTTTCAGTGAAGGTATGGAGGCATTTGATGAGCTCATATCAATTAATGTTCCCTGGAGTCAGGAGTTCTCTGGTGTTCTCAGGATTTGGACTTAAGCCTCCTGCCTCTGGTTTTCAGTCTTATTCTTACAGTAGCCTCAAGACTTCTCCATCTATACAGCACTGATGATAAAACATCTAGGTTAATGATGAAAAGTTTCTCCACAGTGAGCGACACCCGGAGAGGAACACAGAGTTACATGGAGAAGAGAAGAGGGAGGAGGGAGTTAGGTGACCAGGAGCAGAGGGGGAATCAAAAGGGGAGAGAGCAAGCCAGGCGGTAATCGCTTCCCTATGTGCTCTCCACAGTCTGGACCCCTCAGAGATGTTCACGGGGTTACACAGAGAGGAGAAGAGGGAGGAAGGAGACCGAGGTGGCCAGGAGGAGAAAAGGGGGACCCAAAAGGAGAGAGACAGAGCCAGCCAGTAATGAGCTCCCTAAGTGTTCTCCACAGCCGGAACACACAAAGAGATTCACAGAGTTGGGTAGAGAAGAAAAGGGCGAGGGAGGAGATAGAGGCGACCTGGTGAAGGAAAAGGAGAGTCAAAAGGGGGAGAGAGCAATCAGGCCATTGATCCTGCTCCCAAATAAAAATGGGTACTGAAGATTGGGTTCTTAAAGGTACAAAGTTGATAATGAATACCAAAAAGCAAAGATTAAAAATCTAGAGTACAGGTTAGATTCTCAAAAATACAATATTAAAAAACAACAACAACAAAAATCACAAAAATTATAGAATATATATGTATATGATGTCTGCTTTAAAAATAGGGTCTTTTTTTTTGCAAGGTAGTAGTAGGTTATAAAAATGAAAATTAATGGAGTAATATGGGACTTAAAAATAAAAAAAAATTTTTTAATTTTAATTTAAGAAATGATAATAGTAAGAATATATCTAGGACTTTCTCTGGAGCTGTTGCCGACCTTGTGGGATCAGTTCATTTTCAGATAGTTCCTTGGTTCGGCTTGTACTTCTCAAGGTCTGTAGGCCCCTTCCTATGTAGTCAGTGCTAACTACTGGGTTTTAATCTATTGCACCTGTCACTGCCAAAGCGGTTCCCTCTGTTTATTTTAGCTTCTTCTGTTTGCTGGTCTTTTCAGAGTCTAATTTCTTCCCTGACACAATCGGGGCGGTGGTGGTCACCTTTCTCACTTGTTCAGTCGTGCTGTGGGGAAGGAGGAACACTGCAAGCAAATATCACTGGCGTGTGCTCACGGTGATTCAGCCGCACTGGGTTTGCCCCCGCTCACGGCGCGTGTGCTTTCCCAGTCTACACTGTTCAGGCTTCAGGTTGCTCTCCCGGGAACTGTCTGAGGCGGGCCCTAGTTTGCATGCACTCTCCAGGTCTAAGCCGCTCAGGTTCAGGTTCTCGGGTCCTCCACAGAGGCGCAGACTTGGTTGGGCCTGCGTTTTGTGCCTGTCCCAGGTCTAAGCAGCTCAGGTGACCAGGAGCTTGGGGAGTGCAGTGTCCCCCAGTTGGGGCTGCAGCTTATCCCCTCCCCCATCCCAGTCGCTGGGTTTTCTGGGTGTACAGCGGGCAAGTGTACCGTGTGCCGTGTGTCTATTCTGGGGAGCTGATCTCTGGCTGCGACCCTCCCGGTGGATGTCGATCATCCAGAGTCCCAAGAAGTCTTGCTTAGCAGAGAAGTCTGCTTGCAGTTTGAGAGAGATGCCTCTCTGGGGCCGACTGCCTGCTTCCGGCTCTGGCTGCCCTCGCCTGCCTGTCTCGGGCGGGAGATGGGCCGGTCCGCAGCCGGCTAGCTCTGCTCAGTGAGTTCTGTGAGCGTGCCTGGCGGTGTGTTAGGTTAGGGCTTTTCTGGTGATCGTCGGATAGCTATCCCACAGTCTGGGCTGCTATCTCAAGCTGGTTCCCTCAGACTGCCCTCGGGGCATTCAGGCCGAGTCCTTACCCAAAGCACTGCAGCCCATGCCTCCCTGTCCAGTCCCCGCTTGCTAGTGGGGGATGCGAGCACCTTGGCTGCTGCTCCGCTGGGAGTTGCTGTTAGGCACATAGATCTGTGGGTTTTAATTAGTTATTTATCTTTCCTCCTGGTTATTTTGCCCTCTGAGATTCCAACGCTCACCACAGACCCACCAGAGAGAGTGTTTCCTGGTGTTTGGAAACTTCTCTTTTTTAAGTCTCCCTTCCCCAGACGGATCTCCGTCCCTACCTCTTATGTCTCTCTTTTTATATTTTGTCCTACCTCCTTTCAAAGACAATGGGCTGCCTTTCTGGGTGCCTGATATCCTCTGTCAGCATTCAGAAGTTGTTTTGTGGAATTTGCTCGGCGTTCGAATGTTCTTTCGATGAATTTGTGGGGGAGAAAGTGGTCTCCCCATCCTATTCCTCCTCCATCTTAGGACCGCCACCTCAGGGCTTTTTTTATGTTGGCATTTAATTTGGTTGTTAAGCACCTGTGGTGCAATCAACATATATGTGGGATGGGGTGTGGGATGGGGTTTAGCCCTCGGTCCACCAACTTGCCATATCTACTTTGGTCTTTAAGTTCCCTGAAGGAAGGGACCAAGCCTGGTCTTGTCACTTTTACATCCTCAGGGCTTAGTTTTACATTGGGCACTAGTGGTAAAGAATCTGCCTGTCACTGCAGGAAGCATTTGATCCCTGCGTCAGAAAGATCTCCTGGAGGAGAGTACGGCAACCCACTCCATATTCCTGCCTGGAGAATCCTATAGACAGAGGAGCCTGGAAGGCTATAGTCCATGGGGTCACAAACAGTTGGACATGACTGAAGCAACTGAGCATGCACATTAAATAAATAGAGCCTAGTACAGAAAAGGCACTAAGCTTTCATGAAATAAATGGGTTAATTGAGAGGTTCCTAACCCCTGGGCCATGGACAGGATGGTTTGTGGCATGTTAGCAGCCAGGCACAGCAGGAGGTGAGCAGCAGACAAAACCAAAGCCACCTCTTCACCTACCCCCATCCATAGAAAAACTGTCCTCCATGAAACTGGTCCCCAGTACCAAAAAGGTTGGGGACCTCTGGGATAATGGGTGGACAAGTGGATGGATGGGTGGGCAGGGAGATGGAAGGATGAGAGAATGTATAAGTACATATGGTCCTCAGACCACAGGTGTTTTGGAGCAGCCTACCCTGGACCACCACCTTCACCACCAATGCCATGTCCTTACCTTTTCTGCCCTCTGCAGAAATGCCTTGCCTGGGAGAGGTGGTCCGAGAGGTGATCCGCCGCCAGAAGGGTTACGCATCATGTGCCACGGCCTCCAAGATACCTGTCATGGAGTGTCGTGGGGGCTGCGGGCCCCAGTGCTGCCAGCCCACCCGCAGCAAGCGGCGGAAGTACGTCTTTCAGTGCACAGATGGCTCCTCGTTCGTGGAAGAGCTGGAGAGACACTTAGAGTGCGGCTGCCGCCCGTGTTCCTAAGGCCCCTGCACCCGCTCCGCTTCCTGAACTCCGGCCGGGTCGGGTGGGGATGGCCACCAGGGGATCCGCCTGGGAGACCTGAAGGGAAGGAGTGGGAGCTGGAGAAGAAGCAAAAGAAGAAAAGAATATTAAGTATATTGTAAAATAAACAAAAAATAGAACTTATTTTTATTATGGAAAGTGACTATTTTCATCTTTTATTATATAAATATATCATACCATCTGAGTATATGTACCATATAGTGAGTAATTTTTACCAGATTTTTTGTTCCATGTTGTGTAATTGTCATGTTTTTATAAACAGCTGTTAAAAGTTTTAAGGGAAAAAAAAGAACGAATAAAAGTTTTAAAACAAAAGGATGAACATAAAGAAGTGACAGCCTGACTGAGGCAGAAGGAGGAGGCTTATATGTTTAGGTAACACTATTGTGTTGGCAGAAAGGAAGACCTGCTTACGGAGCTCAGGAAACAGAATGAGAAGAGGAAGAAAGTAAAGGAAAAGATTTTTCTTTCTTTCCTCTGATCTTTACTGACTTTTCTTCCTTCCCTGAAAGCACCCAGCTTTTCCACCCTGGTGGTTGAGGCCCAGGGTGTCCACTTCTTCCAGGAAAAGCCACCGAGCCCTGGGCTCTGACACTCCCTGGGACCCAAAGCACTGGCCGCCCCGGAGTGCTTTGGGTCCTGCAGGGTCAGAGCCCACAGCCCCCACCCCTTCCTGGCTGCCCTTGACTCCATTCTGGGACTGTCTGAATCTGCCATAGGCTTAGTCTGAGCCTGTTTGGCCAAATCTGAAAATAATGCCCCTTATCCTGCCTGTCCCCGGGGAAGGCAGTCCCCCTGCAGCTCCTCTGGGAGCACAGTGCTCACCCGTCTCCTCGGACCCTAGTCCCGGACCTTCTTCTGGAAGTTCTAAGCCATTCTCCTCCCTCGGTCCACCTTGTATTGGAAGGCAAAATCAGGAGAACAGGCAGCCAGGGCTCCTGGGAATGAGGAGGGTCAGGGGCCAAGCCTGCCCACAGCTCTGGAAAGTTCTGGAAGGCTCCTGCCTTGGGACAGATAGGCCTTTGAGACCTCATCCTCCAGATCGTCATCTTTATGACAAAGATGCCGTGCCCATCTGCAACACTTTTCCACGCATAACCATAAGGCACCCTACTCTGTCCACATATCCCCTGCCCCTGAGAACGTAATCCTGTTTGATAGATGAGGAAACTGTGGCCTCTTTTAACCCAATAACTCATCTTATGCCTCATCTCTGATAAGTGGAAGACCAAAGCCTGTAGCCCAAACTCTAAGCTCTGGGTTCCGTCTCCAGAGTAGCATAAATGCAAGAGGTTCAGGCAGCTAAAGTCTGTCAAAGAAGCCCTGCCAGGAAGGGAAAGTCAGTTTTTTTCTGTTTTTTTTTTTTTTTTTTTCCCTGTTCTCATTTTGCTTCCTTAATATCCAGAAAGACTCTAGACTGAGAGACTTAGGTATCAGGGAATGTGAGCAAGGCCAGCCCACTCAGCCCAGTCTCCTGAAGGAGACTTGCCCCTGTCCCCTCCCCATCTCTGTCCGCCCCCTCCACCGCCATCAGGCCAGGTTAGACGGCCCAGGGGTCACCCGCTCACACCAACCTCTGGGCCCACAACCATCACTCCCTCCCCCAGAAACCTCACCCTACAGAAGCATCAGGGAAGAGAGAGTGGGGTGCAGTGGACCATCCAGCACTAAGCATCCCCAGAAGAGCCTTGAGGTTCTTGCAAGCCAAAGGCTCAAAGAGTCAAGATGGGAGAAAGAAAAGAAAGGAAGATGGAAGGAAAAAGTAAGGAGGGAGGAGGAGTAGGAAGAAAGGAAAAAAGGGAAGGAAGGGGGACTGAGGGAGAAAGAGAACAAAGAAAGGATGATGAAGAGGAGAGAGGGATGAGATGCGGGCATTTTCTTTAAAATATGTATATATAATATACATCATGTTCCAGGTACTTACTGTACCTTATGATGACTGTTTTACATATTAATGGCTAGGTTGGCTTAGTGCTTACTATGTTATACATCAGGTACCACTCTAATTTACATATACTAATATATAATATACAGTCATTTAATTCTCTAAACAACTCTGTAGTAGAGACTCTGCTAACCCATTTTACAGTTCAGTAAATTGAAGCATGGAAAAGTTAAAGAACTTGCACAAGAACAGATGCCTAATAAATTACAGAGCCAGGATTTAGGCCCAGCCTGACTCCAGGACTTTCTCTTCATGGGAAGGAGACAGGTCCCGCTTCTAAGGATTCTACAGTTTGAGGCAGAAACAATCATGGAAATAGATAATTGCTTTATTATATGGAAGTAGCTGTCCAGAGTAAGGAATTTCCAAATCTTGAGTCTTCAAGAATGAATAGGAGTTTGCCAGGACACAGGGAAGGGAATTGAAATTTCCATGATTCTCTATTAAAAAGCAGGGAAGTGTGAAAAGACCTGGCATGTTTGGGGAGCAGTCAGAGGTCTGGACTGGCAAGAGTGTGGCTGCATGCTGGGGAGCAGGGATAGATGGGGAAGATGTAAAGGCAGGGGTTTGACCACAGGGCTCCAGCAGGTTTTTGAGCAGGGGAAGTAGAACAAGCTCTGCTTTAGGAAAAGAGCGGCTGGCAAAGTAGAGAAAGGTCTGGGAGAAGACAGGGCTTTGCCACCCAAAGTGGCCTGGGGCTCCCCCTAGTTGTTGACTTTGGTTTATTTAGGCTAGACAACGCTCATTTCCAAATGGGGCACAAAGCCCTTGTGGTGGTTCAGAAGCTCCGCCCTGGGAGGGATCTCCCCAGGAGCCCCCCGCTCCCCACACACTCCCAGCCCTCCTCACGCAGGTGGTCCTGGGCCTTATTCTACCACCAGCATTCCCACCTAGCTCTCCCACCCAGCACAAAGCCCACTCAACCTGCCATCTTGAGAGCCCCACCCACGGTCCCTGACTTTCTCAGAGGACTCGCCAAGCTCACAGCTTTTCCTCCATCTGCCCCAAGCATTCTGAGGCCTTTCTCTGCCAGCCACCCCCTGGGACCAACCCCTAATCCAGTCACAGTCAGCCAAGACAGCCAAAAGGACAAGATTCTTTCAGTGTGGCTGGTGGGGTGGGGGGTGATTTTGAGCCTTCCCCCTCAGTTTTGGAAGCCCTGACTTTATGAAACTCAGTGCCATTAAGAAAATTCTCCCCAAATGAAGTTTCTCTAACAAATGGAGACTAAAACTTTCTTATTGGAGCAGACAAATTCTAGAAAGTCCCATGGGGCAGAAACGGTTCAGTCAGTTAACTTGCACACTCAATGGTTCAGTGCTTGTGTGTGAGGATGTACTTATGTGCAGAAGCAGCAGCTCAGGCTGTTTCCCCCCTGGGCAGGGCTCAGGGTGAGTGGAAGGAAATGTCCCTTTTTAACTCAACCAAGGGACCCTAAAATGGTAATGAGAGAATGTACTTAAAAGTTCTTTGTAAAGTGTAAACTAAAAACCTTAAATGTAAGATGCTACTGTTATTACTGTTTTTGTTGCTATTGATGACATGCCAAAAGGCCCTTTATACAAGATGGCTTTGCCTTTTCAATTTCATTGAAAAGAAACTGAGTCTGAAACTTCAGAAAGATGACAGAGAGGAGGAAAAATGGGACAGAGGCAAGGAAAGGGAAGGAGATCCCCGAGGGCCAGGGAAAGAGGCGAAAATCCCCAGGACAACTCTCAGGAACATAGAGGTGGCCAGGATGGGAACTGAACCAACCTTGCCCTTCACCAGATACAAAGCTATCAACAGATTGAACCCTTAGGCTGAGCAGCCAGCCACTGCCTTTGCTAGGAGAAGAAGCCCCCAGCATAAATGGACCTGCTTCCAAAGACGAAGGATCCCAAATATCAAAGTGGGAGGAACCCACAGGGGCCCTTGGTGGCTAGAACACTGATAAACAGAGAAACGGCACTTCTAGACCAGAGACCAAGGTCATCCAGGAAATCAACACCAGGAGCAGGTACAAACTACCAGGCTAAAGTTCTTCCTGCGACTCCCCAGGTGCATCCAGGCAGCGCAAAGCCTGAAACAGACTCTCCAATACCATCTTAGTGGCCAGGAAAGTATCTTCACTTTCCCTCACAGCCCTTTGGTGTCCTCAGGTGGTCCGCAAGCTGGGGTGTGGTCTGGTTTGGTAATGCTTAACCACATTTCCCAGTCTGGGTTAGACAGTGCCATAGGAAACCCTTGGGGAAAGTTGACGAGAGATGCGAGCTAGCAGGGCCAGCAAAGGTAGAATGGGGCATTTGGCAAAGCTTATTTCTCTAACTCAATAAATTTCTAAAAAGAAAAATTTTAAGATTTTTCTTTTAAAACAATGTAATACTGCCACTTCACCAGTATGGGATAAATAATGTGCTTTTTTTTTTTCAACAGACTGTCTTATGCTGATATCATTAAAATAAATGGATAAGAGAGCCAATTAGATGCTCTTGTGAATACCAGAACCTTAGCCCTCCTCTGTGATATATGTTTTATTTTTACTCCTGACCTTCACACTCCCTGGGGCAAAGATTACTGCATTCATGGTTGGGGCAAGTCTGGTGTGGAATAAGTGAAAAAAATTGGCTTCTTGCATCATGATGTGGGAAAAATGAATCCAGTGTTCCCCAGAGATATGGAAGAGAAGACTGAACACATGGCGTAGGGTCTGCAGGACATGTGGTTTATATGGTCACCTACTGGGTGCGAAGGGTCACAGAAGAGGAAGCCACTCCAGCACAGAGAATATGATATGAAGGAAGATTTCCTCCTGGGCACTCCAATGCTTAATTAAATCCCCTCCTTTCATAATTTCTTCCATAAGCATTTACTGAAGATCTGCTTTGTGCCAGGTTCTGATCTAGGCAGTATGGACTACAAAGATGACTGAGACAAATTCCTTGCTCTCCGGGAGCTTAACTTTTAACTGAGTGTCAATCAACAATCAAAAAGGGACTTCCCTGGTGGTCCAGGGAAGATGAGATGCTGAGCTCACAATTCATGGGGCCCAGGTTCAATCTCTGGTCAGGGAACTAGATCCCACACGCCATAACTAAAAGTTTGCATGCCACAACTAAAGATCAAAGATCCCAGATGCTACAACTAAGACTCAGTGCAAACAAACAAGTAAATAAATAAATATATAAAACAATCAATCAACCAAAGAAAACATCAGATAATATTTAAAAAGTAGAGACAACCTGGCACATTAGCTGGTGGGTACTTTACACAGTGAATTTCAGGAATGCCTCTTTGAAGAATATGAACCCAGGGTGGGGTAAAGAAAAAACGGAAGAAGCCTGGCCCTGCAGCCCTCCCTACCTATCTGCCCTTACACAGGTCACATTTGAGGGAGGTGGGTAGCCCAAGATTCTTCGCAGGCCAGAGCTGATGCCATGAGCAAGAGAGCACTAGGAGAGGACTAGTGAGTGAGGAGAGGGGGCAGACCCCACCCTCAGCTTCCAGCCAAGAGGCATCCTTGGGGGCCCAGGGCCTCTCTGAATGAGAAATGCTAAGGGTCTGGAGGCCACCACTGGCTGGATGCAGGTCACCTTCACTTCCCTAGAAGATGGCTTTTATCTCCCCTGTGAAGAACCCCACTGTGAAAAAGACTCTGGTGTGCAGCAGATTCAACAAGTGTCAGCAAAGAACCCAGGCGCTCCTTTGCCTGTTATTTCCTGAGCAAGAGAGAGCTGCACTGGCCAGGTGCCCTGAGCCCCCATCAGCATGCCTTTGACATGAGCATCCCACCTTTCAGCACAAAGAATGAAATTGGGGGTGGGGGTAGGGGAGTGGGGGAGGAGGTAGGTATTGTGTGGCACACACTGTCACACAGCCCAAAACACACAAATCATGTCACACAGCCTGACGCACACACACACACCATGTCACACAGCCTGGCACACACATACTGTGTCGCTCATCCTCTCACACACACATACACAAACACACAGTGTTAGCCTCACACACACACACAGTGTCACACATCCTGGGCATCCCCATCAGGATGCCCACAGCCTCCATTTTCCATACTCAAAACAAAAAGCCCCTCCTTCCAGGTTTGGAACTGATAGATCTATTCCCTCTCAAGTTCCCTTTTGTATCCATCCATCAGATCTTCTCAGCTGGGAGAAACTGTGCCACCCCCACCCCAGGAGACATGTGGAGACGTCTAGACACATT